CTACCTATATGCTGTCTGTGTCACCACCCTGCAGTTCATGGATGAATAAAACCTCAAAATGGACTGAAAGTATGGAAAATCCATGCAATGCTGAGGCTGAGACAGGATAAGAAATAGACCCCTTTCCAGGCATGGTCGTGCCCACCTGTGAGCCCACCACTCAAGAGGCTGAGGCAGGAGGATCACCACAAGTTTAAGGCCGACCTGGACTATACAGTGAGACCCTGTCTCGAAAACAAAATAAAAAACAGGCCCCCTGTAACACATCGGGAATAGCAGTAAAGTGCCATCCTGGTTTTCAGTGCCCTTGTGGTGAATTTTTACACCTGAGCCAGCGTCAGAGCATGGGAGGCCCAGGGTTTGCAGGTGGGGCAGTTCTGTGGGGCCAAGCCCCAAACCTGTAGCGTGTGACACTAAGTCTGGGTGGTGTTGGGATTGAAGGGCCTCCTTGGACACTCAGTTGGTGTCTGGAGAGTCAGAAACTTTGTCTATGGGAAAATGAAAGCCACATATTTGGTGTGAGAAGTGTGGGGCGTGAAAAGAGCCAGTCCTCTGCACCCAGGGGAGGCTGAAGCAGCCTCTTGGCTATAGGGAAGGCCATGGTGTCCCGGGTAGACCAGATGGCCATTCTGCTGCCACTCCCTGGGTTTCAGTGCTTGCTCAGGGGCTCAGCAGAATCCCCCAGCTCGGCCAGCAGTCACTGATGCCCAATCTGTCAGCAGTGGCTGGATTGCTAAGCCCCGGGTGAGTGATATAGGGCACTGAGTAATCTAAATAACGTAAATAATCCAAACAAGGGAAACATAACTTCCAATCTGCTAGATATCTGGCATGCCAAGTTCGTGTTCTCTAAAATCGAAGAATGAATTCTTTTTTTTTTGGTACCAGCAATCAAACTCAGGACCTTGTGCTTTCAAGGCAGGTGGTGGCACCATGGAGCTAAATCCCTGGCCCTCGAAGAATGAATTCTAGGAACAAGGGAGGTGAAGAGTAGGCAATATTTGTCGAGGGAAAGACAGCTCCTGCCTGAGAGGCACAGGAGGGGACACCGGGGAAGTGGGTTGCCTGGGACCCTATTTCTTAGGGGGTTTTATGGAGCAAAGCAATGAGGTGAGGCGGTTACAAAGCGGGGCAATACTGCAGTCAGCTAATGAGATCCAACGGAAAATCACACCGTGGCCATGAGGTGGGACAAAATCATGACCAGCCAATAAGGTTACAAGTCCAGTGGCCCAGGTAATATTGATGAAATGGGGATCAAATGGGAAAACACGTCATGTAGCCAGCGTGCATGGAATGAACAAGCAGTTTCTGGAAAGGAAGTGGGCTAGGGAGATTCCGGTCTCCACCTATGGTGACTGATGTTTACTTAGAACACCCATCACTGCTGTTGGTCTCTCAAAGAAGAAGTATGAAGTTATGAAGTACGCCGCCAGTACAGTGGTTTTCTTTTTGAGACTTGGCCTTAAGTGGATGGGCCTCCATTGTCTTCTGTACTGACTCCCCCCAGGGCCCAGCCCTGCCTACAAGAAATCTAACTAGCTTAACTACTAACTAGCCTAGCTGTCTACGTGAGGCAGCGCCTCGGCCAAGCAAGACGCTGGGCCCCTCCTTTGCAGACTGGGCAGTTTTCCTCCTTGGAATAAATAACTCTGGGCTCCTTATTTGCTTTCCCTGCCCCTTGTACATCTGCCAAAACCGGCCTGTGTGTGCCGTGAATGGGCCCATTCACTGCTGTCACACACACCCTCAGCGCTCATGGTGAACTTGGTGTTAGGGAGCCAGTGTGTGCTGGGGTCCATGTACCCTGCCGGCCCAGGGCCTCCGAGAAGGGAGATGCACTCTGGCTGGGGACAACAAGCCCCTCGGCTCAGGTGCTGTGCTCAGGGTGGGTTGTAGGAAACAGGAGAAGAAGGAAGCGTGCAGCAAGGACCGGCTTTACTGAACATAAAGACCCGAGAGGGGCCAGGGCAGCTCTCTCCACCACGGCAAGGGTTTGTTTTTTTTGGTACCAGGGATCAAACTCGGGACCTTGTGCATTCAAGGCAGGCAGGTGGCAGCGGAACCACTGAGCTAAATCCCCGGCCCTTAGCGAGGGTTTTAAGCTTTTAAAGGGGACACAGGGGTTAAGGGCCTGAATCTTTCCTCACTGGGCCTGCTCAGTTTGTGCAAGGTTTCCTATTCGAGAGGCTGAACACTCCCAGATCTGGAAAGATTTGTACACGGGTTTCACGGTTTTGAGGCACAGAATTCGGGAAGGGTCGCTGCCCCAGAGAAAGCGTGCCTGGCTTCTTCAGGGCCAACGCTGAGCTTGCTCAGGGCACGCGGGTGACGCCCAAGAACACAGACCCTGGAACTCAGGGTGCCAGCCTCAAGACCACGCCCATGACACCCTCTGCAAACATCTGTGTCTTGGGCTGGCGTGAGCTAGGGGTTCAATGCCCAGCACAGGAGAAAATAAAGTGCAGTGAGTGTGGGAGCAGCGGAGGTCCTCCAGACCCTTCCAGCCACCTCGCTGCCACTTCCGGAGCAGTCCAAGGTGATTCATTCAGGCCTCGGTGGAGACGCTGCTTCGCTTGGGCCTAGGGTCCTCCTGTCACCGCCAGGAGCTCCCAGAAGTGGGCGTGAGGAGCATTGCCACCCACAGAGCTGGCGGGCGAGGGGCCTGCAAACTTCCATCACAGGAAAGGAAGAAAGGGGTCTGTTAGGCAGGACTCTGAAAGTACCGCACACACTCAAGGACAGCACGCAGGCCTCAGGAGGGAAGGAGCTTTGGTTGGCCAGGAGCTGGGGATATTTGCAGGATTTGGGAATGCAGACCTGTGGGATTTGTGAATCTGCGGAAAGGAAATTCAAACGCAATGGCCCATTCACAGGCTGGAGGGTGGGGCCCACACATAAGGGAAAAAGGCCCATTTTGCAGGAGTAAAGGACAGCTGAGTCCCAGGAGAAAAGGGTCTTTTACTGGAACAAGACAACACCCAGCCTTTGTCTTTAGGGACTTTAGGAAGTTCTGACTGAGTTGTGTCCTGAAACTGCAGTTTTCTGCTGTGTTTTTCTTTTTCGTACTGAGGATCAAACTCGGGTCCTTCCGCTTGTGAGGCAGGGAGTGGAACCATTGAGCCATTGAGCTAAATCCCCAGCCCCTCTGCTGTTTTGTTTTTCAAGACAGGGTCTCCATGTGTAGTCCAGGCTGGTCTTGAACTCTCTACATACCCAATGCTGGCCTCCAACTCACTGTGACCCTCCTGCCTCGGCCTCCCAAGTGCTAGGATTATAGGTGTGTACCACCAGGCCCTGCTTGAAGCTGCAGTTTTTATTAAAGGCACAAAAAAGTATTTTTCTTGGTGGTACTTATAGTTGAACCCAGGGCCTTCACTCTGCCCTAAATCTCCAGCTCCCTTTTAATTTTTTTTTGTGTGTGTGAGACAGGGTCTTACTATTATAGTTAGTAGGTATGTTCTAGGCAGTCAGACAGGGCTGGGCCCTGGAGGGAGTCAGTTTGGAACAGGAGAACACATTCCCGCTGTGGCTGGAGGCGCATCTGTTGAAGGCCAGGCCTCAAGATAAAGACGGGATGACCTACATACTTCCCTAAGGGATAAGCAATATACAGTGGACCCTTGACTTACAAACTGGATGGATTCTAGAGGGCTGGTTGTAACTCCAGTTGGTTGTAAATCAATACAGCTGAGATCTGGATGTTTACCTGGGTACACGTTATAGATAACGAAGCAGATGAATCTTCCATTAACTTAATTAACCCAAGTTGTTTGTATGTCAGGCCGGCCACTGTGCTATAATCGGTATTACCTGGTCCAGTAAGGTCTAGATAGACTTCAGTCACCACAGTGGGTGACCAGGACCTCGGCATCATCCCTTCCTAAAAAGGCCCTTGTGCTTTCCAAGCACACTTGCTACATGACCTGCTTCCCCATTGGCTCAGTGTTACCTAAGCAGCTATACTTGCAATCTCATTGCTTGACATTAGCTTTGTCCTATGTTGTTCCCACCTCCTGACTTTGCTCTATAAAACTTCCTTGGAGAAGTGGGCTTGTTGGCAACCCACTTTCGGGTCCCCTGCTGTCTCTCAGGAGCTGTCTCTCTCAACAAATGTTTCCTACTCAACCTCCATTGTTCTTAGAATTCATTCTTCAATTTCGGGGAACACGAATCAAGCGTATCTGACATCAAGCAGGTTGGGAGTTACATCTATTTCTCCTGCATCATTACTAAAGTCACCAGGTTGCCCAGGCTGGGCTCCAACTTGGGGCCCTGTGGCTTCAGCCTGCCAGAGTGCTGAGAATACAGGCGTCCACCACTGCACCTGGCTTTTAATGGCTCAATTTACAAATTACAATTTCTCTTGTCTCCTTTCTACCTATCTTTTTTTAAAAATTATTTTTTTGGTTTTTTTGAGACAGTCTCGCTATGTATTTCAGGCTGGTCCCGAACTCACGATGTAGCCTAGACTGGCCTGGAACTCCCGGCGATTCTCCTGCCTCAGCCTCCCCAGGGCTGGGATTACAGGTAGGCACCACCAACCCTGGCTACCTATCTTTATTTCTTACCCCTACTTCAGTGTGAATACAAGCCGGGGACGTCCTGGGCAGCCTCCAGCTAACGCCCAGTCCCCGCCACTGTGCTCACAGGCCCACTCCGAGCAGGCCAGGCCGGATGCTGGAGCAATAAGGTCGGCCCTTGCGCAGGCCCCGAGGACGGAGGGTCTGCGCGCTCCCTCGTCCTCCCCCGCAGCGCGCGCGGCCGCGGCCCAGCTTGGCGCGGATCCCGCTCCCGGCGCCTCCCGCAGCCCCCGGCGGGAAGGCGACAGCGGCTCCTCCCGGGTCTCCCCGCGCAAGCCCCGCCCGCCGAGCCGGGCGCCGGGACCGCAGCGAGCGGTGAGTAGCGGCCGGCCGGCGGGGACCGCGCCGCCCCAGCTCCGAGCCTCCCTCCCCGCCCCGCCCCGCCCCGAGGCCCCCTCCACCGCAGCCAGAAATCGCTCCTTTCCGCCCCGGAGGCCGCGCGCCCCGAAACCCGGAGTCTGAGCCCCGCGCGCTCCTGGGCTCCGGAACTTGGGCCCAGCTTCAGCATCGCGTACAGCCGGGGGACCCCAACCCCACCGCCCTGGGCCCGGGATGGTCCCCCCTTCCGTAGACAGCTACCCCGAGACGCCGGGCTGGGCAGGCCACACCCCGAGACCCCGGTAGACGGAAACGCGCCCATCCCCCACCCCTACTGCACGAATCTGGCCTGGTTCTGGGGGACCAGTAGCCTGGGGTGCTGGCTCAGAACCTCTAAGGGGAGGCCCAGGATCGGCACCCCAACTCTCCTCTTCCAGGGAGACAGAGGCCCTGGTCCACAGACCCTGTTAAATTGGGGCTCTCAGGTCACCCAGCCCGCTGCAATCCAGATGCCCGGGATTTCATCCTGACAGACCCGGGGACCGGGGCAGACCGGAGGACGGGGGCCGGAAGCCAATGAAATCCGTGAGGGCGATGACACTGGGGCTGGCCCCAAGTTGGGGGGCCGCGTCCTGAGGAGTCCATCCACACGCGGGTTTCCATGGCAACGGCCCAGCCGGGAGCCTTTTTTAGGTGCAGTGTCTGGGAGGGCAGCCCCTTGGGCCCCCCCTCTTCCAGCTGTTGTGTCTTCCTGTTTTGTCACCACGGCAACGGTGACCTCAGCCCTGCACCCCCTCCCTCTTGGCGGAGAATCCGAGCCACAGGTCTCCCGGGGGAGTGGTCTCCCCGTGCCCCCGCCCACGAGGTCTGGAGACGGGGGGGGGGCTCCTCCGTCCACGGCCCGTCCAGGCCTGGCCCCGCCCCGCCCACACCCCGCCCACACGCGCTCTCTGGTCCACACCCCACCCGGTCAACCGCACCCAGCCGGTAGACCCTCTGGTCCGCAACTGCCGTCTTTGCTTTAGCCGCAGCCTCCGCGGGTCCGAGAGGTGAGATTGGGGGACCCCAGGGCCCTGGGGCGGTGGTTCAGGATCCCGGGTTCATCGGAGGGCTACACTGCGATGACGAATGTGGGACCCCAGAAAGACAGGGCCGGGATGCCTGGTTCTGAGCACGACAGGGTTGGGACCTGGATTCAATCCCTCGTCCCATAGAGGGGGCTGGGTCCAGACTCGGGGTCCGAGGGCGGAGGCTGGGCCTGGACCCGCGGGTCTGAGGGAGGAGAGATGCAGAAGACTAACTCCGAGCTGAAGGGGCTGGGGCGGAGGTGCTCAAGAGCTGAGGATCCTGCTATTGGGAACCCTAAGTTTAAGAAAAGAGTGGCTGCAGTTCGGAATTTAATTTGTTTTTTCTTGAGATAGGGTCTCACAATGGGGTTCAGGCTGGCCTTAAACTCACTGTGTAGCCCAGGCTGGCCTCGAACTCACAGAGATCCTCCTGCTTCAGCTTCCCCAGTGCTGGAACTACAGGCGTGCGCCACCACGCCCGGCTCCTGTTGTTTTTTGACACAGGGTCTTGCTGTGTAGGTCAGGCAGGCCTTACATTCGCCTTGTAGCCCAGGCTGGCCTGGAAGTCCGTCCTCTTCTCGCAGGCGTGCGCCCCACGCCCGGCCACTTGTTTTTGTCTTATTTTTAGTTGCCCCATTTCTGACCCCATCCCCATCCGGGTGCCAGGGAGAACTACAAGTTTGGATCCCTGGAAGGCGAAGGCTAAGGCCCCGCACCCGGCTCCTAGGGTGGGGCTGGAGCTGGCAGCCCGGCGGGGCCAGGCGGAGTCCAGCTGCGAAGCACGGGGAGGCCGGGCGGAGCTCGGGGCCCGTCCCCGTCTGCGCGTGCGGGGCGGGGCGTCTGGAGCCGAGGCGGGAGGGTCCCCGCGAGGTCTGCGGCGGTGCATTCCTGAGCTCTGACCTCAGGCGCGGAGGCCCGGGGCGGGGGCGGCGCTCCTCGGAAGTCCCGGCTGCTCCTCCTCCTCTGGGGCGCGCGCCTTCCTTCCGGAGGCCTGGCGGGGACCCGGGCTGTGGCTCCACGTGGCTCCGCGGGGACCCTGGGGCGCACTGGTGGCTGCTGCTGCTGGCTCCCTCCTGCCCTTCCGCGCCCCGAGGGGAGCGGGGAGCCAGGGGTCCCCGCCCCTTCCACTTTGAGACCCGCCCCCCGGGGTGCAGGACCCTGGACTCACTTTCTAGGGACTCGGAGGCCCGAGCTTCCGTCCTCTGCTGCTCGCGGAGCCGCCCCCTCCGCCCACACCCCGAGAGGGTGACACCCCGAGGGCGGGGTCCGGCTCCACCCCCCACCCCCACCCCCGCGGCCTGGCGCCCACGGCACGCGAAGCCTTATAAGGTTCGGACACGACACGCCGGGCCGCCCGCCACCCTGCCCAGCCTGGGGTGCGGATCTTGGCGTCCCGCCCCGTCACCGTCCCTCCGCTCCGCCCACCCGAGGTGTGCAGCGGGGGCTGCTCGCCCGTGTCACCCCTGACCCTCGGGGCTCGGGGCCCGGGGCTCCCGGCCAAGTCCCGTCCCTGCTGGGAGGCGCCAGGCTGCAGAGCTGGGAGGCGCGGGCACCAGCGGCCGGGACCCGGAGGGAGGAGCCAGGTCTGAGCTGACCTGACCTCTCCCCCAGGTGTCCGAACCGCCTTTTTAGTGTGGCCGAGCCGCCTCCACCGCCGGATCCTTCTCCTCCACGTGGCCACCTGAAACCGCAGGTGAGTGCGCTGGGGCCTGGGCCCCGCCCCAGGTCCGAGGGAGGAGGCCGGAAGCTTGGGTTCTAAGGAGAGGCGACGAACACTGGTGTGTGAGGAAGCGGGGTGTCTGGCAGCTGACTCCCCTGGACGCTGTGCCCTGCCACCGTTAAAGGCTGTGCCTTGCCTTGCTGTTCAGGCGACCCTGGAAGCCAGTTTTATTTCCCTGCGGTTGATAACCACCTCCTGATAGTTTCAGCGGTGGCAGCTCACAGATTAGAAATTTTGCACCCTGAGAAAGGATTTGGGCTTCTCTGAGGGTTTGGGGACGAGGAAGTGGACGCTGTGGGTTCAGGACTGGGAAGCAGCAGCTACGAGGTGGGTCTGGGCCGGCTGGACCTGGCCAAGGGCGGGCCCGGGTCACCCAGCCCAGCTCCAGCAGAGAGAGCCCTGGGCACGGGATGCCGGAGCGGACTTTCCCAGGACTTGGGGACAGGCCGGCTGGGTTGCTGGGAAGCGGCGCCTTTGGGTTACGGTGCCCCAGACCGGAATGCTGCTGGGGGGGAGTCCTGGGCACTGAGAGTGAGAGGATGGACAGAGCCCTGGTGTTGATCTCTTCAGAGGGGAGGCGGGGAGGAAACATCCCATCACAGTTACGCAAAGTGGGAAGTTTGTTCCCAGGGCAGAGAGCACCGCTCTGTTGCTGAGTCCCTGGGGAAGGAGGGCAGGGAGGACAGCTCTGGCCTCTGGAGTGGGGAGGAGGAGAAAGGTGGGGTCTGGAATCCTGGCTTCAGACACAGTTGGGCACAGATGAGTCTGGAACTGGGGTGACCCTGTTTGCAGATGGAAAGCCCCACATCCTGGGAACTCCCTATCTGGAGCCCACGATAGTAGTTGTTATTTCTCTTTGGTTTTTTGAGCCAGGTTCTGGCTATGTAGTTCAGGCTAGTCTTGAACTCACCATGTAGCCCAGGTTGGCCTCGAACTCAGGGCAGTCCTCCTGCCTCAGCCTCCTAAGTGCTCGGATTATAGGCGGGCACCCCCAGTAGTGTGTCCTGAGGCCCTGTCTTCTGCCTTTCCCAGCCATGCCGGTGACGGTGACCCGCACAACCATCACGACCACGTCGTCCTCCACCGTCGTGGGGTCCCCTCGGGCACTGACCCAACCCCTGGGCCTGCTCCGCCTGCTGCAGCTGGTGTCCACCTGCGTGGCCTTCTCGCTGGTGGCCAGCGTGGGCGCCTACACAGGGCCCATGGGACACTGGGCCATGTTCACCTGGTGCTTCTGCTTTGCCGTGACCCTCATCGTCCTAGTGGTGGAGCTGGCCGGGCTGCAGGCACACTTCCCCCTGTCCTGGCGCAACTTCCCCATCACCTATGCCTGCTACGCCGCCCTCTTCTGCCTGACATCCTCCATCATCTACCCCACCACCTACGTGCAGTTCATGTCCCACGGCCGCTCCCGTGACCACGCCATCGCCGCTACCACCTTCTCCTGCGTTGCCTGTCTGGCATACGCCACCGAAGTGGCCTGGACCCGGGCAAGGCCCGGGGAGGTCACTGGCTACATGGCCACTGTGCCCGGGCTGCTCAAGGTGCTGGAGACCTTCGTGGCCTGTGTCATCTTCGTCTTCATCAGCGACCCCTACCTGTACCAGCGCGCGCCGGCCCTGGAGTGGTGCGTGGCGGTGTACTCCATCTGCTTCATCCTGGCTGCCGTGGCCATCCTGCTGAACCTGGGCGAATGCACCGGCGTGCTGCCCTTCCCCTTCCCCAGCTTCCTGTCGGGCCTGGCCCTGCTCTCAGTCCTCATGTATGCCTCCGCCCTCGTCCTCTGGCCTCTCTACCACTTCAATGAGAAGTACGGCGGCCAGCCCCGCCGGGCCTGGGACTCGGGCTGCGGCTCCAGACATACCCACATTGTGTGTACCTGGGACCGCAAACTGGCGGTGGCCGTCCTGACGGGCATTAACCTGCTGGCCTACCTGGCTGACCTGGCGCACTCTGCCCGACTGGTGTTCGTCAAGGTCTAAGACTCCCAGGGGCTCCCTTGCCCCTCTGTCCCGCCCCTTCTTCCTTCCCCCAGAGTTTCCATTCCTGAGACCTCTTTCCTCTCCCTTCCTTCCCGGCCTCCTCACCAGCTCATCCTGCTCCACTTCCTGTTTCCTGTTCCCCTTTCCCCTTCCTTGCTCCTTTCCTTCCTGTTGGGTTGGGTGCCCTCATCCTGCTCCCCCCCCTCCTGACTCCGCCCCTTTCTCCCGTCTCTCTCTGGTCTCCTGATGTCTCTTCCTATTTCCTCGGGAGCCCTGAGACTCTCCTGTCCTCCACCTCACCTCCGAAGGTGCTGAGCTCCACACATCCACACCCTCTCTGCAGCTGTTCATGCCACAGCCTCGGGAGAGGCCCCATTGCCAAAGCATGCCTGCCCACCCTCGCTGTGCCTTAGTCGTGTGTCTGTGTATGTGCTGGGGGCTGGCTAGGGAGGGGTCCCCTTCCCCCAGGTGGAGGAGGCTGCACAGTGCACCTCCTCTCTAAGTTACAAAAACAGTTCTCTGCAGGTCAGTAATTCCCAGTGGGCGGGAGGCTTTAAGCACAGACCCGGGGTCCCTAGACCCACCTGGTACTTAGCCATGCCTAGGACAGCCTCCAGGATTTTTCCAGCCTTATTAAAACCCACTGCCTAGAGGCCATCTTAGAGGAAGCAGGAGGTGGATGTGTTTCATCCCAGCTGTCCTTTGTGCTAGCAAAAAAAAAAAAAAAGTCTTGCAGACACCGGTCTGAAGTATTTGTGAGGGACAGGAACCCTCCAGGCTCAGTGTTGAAAATAATGTGCCCTGCTTTGGCAGGGATGGGAGGGAAACGGCTACTGGGGGCCTTAAAGGCAGTCACCTGGCTTTTTCTCTTTTTTTCTGGTCACCAGGGCAGAGACTACTGGGTGGCCCTATTCTGCAAGGGGGAAGACTTTCTTATCAGTTTTTCTTTGCTTTTGGGGGGAGGTTGCTGCTGCCATGGCCAGAGGAATGGCATTGCGTGTGTGTGGTATGCACACCTATTTCTGTGTGCTAGTTGCTTCTTGCTGCTTCCTGCTTCGCGGGGATTCACATGCATACCGTGATATATATAAATGTATAAATACATATTTTATTTTTTTTAATTTCCTGGAGCTTTCAGTTCCTATAGCTCCTGCTGTCAGTCATAGAAATCTTGTCCCTTCCCTTACTCCCACATTCACAATGTTCTTTTTTTTTAAATCTTGACATAAAGATAACAGAAGAGGACTTGTGCTTTTTTTATTATTGGGGAGGGCTCCAGAAGAGCACTGAGGCCCAGTGTCCTCAGTCTGGTGGAGGAAGAGTTGGACCCAAGATAACTTTGGCCTCATCAGACAATACTAGTCCAGCCAGGACCCAGAAGTGTGTGGCATACACCTGTAATCCCGGGACACTGGAGACTGAGACGGGGATCCCTGTGAGTACAAGGCCAGCCTGAACTACCCGGTGAGAGCCTGTCTCAAAACAAAATACTAGCAAAGTCTAGGGTTTCTAAATTACTCCTTCAAATTTCAGACAGGTACATGCCTATAATCCCAGCTACTGGGGAGGCTGAGGCAGGAGGATCACAAGTTCAAGGCCAGCCTGGGCAACTTCGAAAGACTATCAAAAAGGACTGAGGAGTGTAGTTCAGCACTTAGCACTTGCCGAGCTTGTGTGTGTACCTGGGTTCAATCCACAGTAATGCAAGTCAGTAAAATAAACTCTCAAACCGGGAGGGCTGCGTGCAGCAGCAATGAACATGATTTCTCTCTCCTTGGAGTTCCACGTCCACACGGCCTGTCAGGAGTGGGAACACAAGCACTTGTTCCCACCTTCTTCCCTGTCAGTCGCCCCTCAAACACTGCTTTCTTCTAAATGTAATTTAGAGCTGCCCCTTTCTCCAGTCTCCTGGCCCAGCTCAAGTTCCATTTTGTTTCAGCTGAGCCACTGCCCCAGCCTTTTCTTTGACCATCCTATTTCCAGCCCACCCTGGCCCCTGGGGAACTCGAAACATCCAGGTCCGATCCCGCTCCCACCCTCACTCCACGTTGCCTCCAGCTGCTACCCAAACTCAGTCCATCCGAAAGCCTTGCGGGCCGGCTAGTCACTGTCCGCCCTGGGCACCCGGACTACCCTGACAACGATCGGGTCAGCTCCGCACTAGCCTGTTCCACAGATCCTTTTGCCTGGGGGATGGTCCGGGCCCACCTCTGGCAACTTAGCGAGATCCTATCTCAAAATGGTAAAAAGCACTAGGATGTTGCTCAATGCAAAGGCCCTGGACTCAGTCCCCAGTACAGTGCATATCTGCCTGTTCTGTAAGGAGGGGCAAGGGCCAGCCAGGACAGACTCCTGTGGGGCGAGGACCGTCCTTTTTCTCTGCTGTCCGATTCTCGCCGCCCCCTAGAAGGCACCGGAAGAGCCGCGATGGAACCGGGGATAACGGAAAGAACCCGGGGAGCTGGAGCGGAAGCGGGGACTCCTAGGTCCATTTTCAAAGCCAACCGGCCGGCAGGCGGCAGAAGGCCACGGGCTCACGAGCGGACTGGGGTAGCCCCACTCGCTTTTCGGTTCCGACCCGTAAGCACTCACAGCCCTAGGTGAGCCGCGGTGCACGCACAGCCCTGCCCCCGCGCGGGGCACGCCGGGAGAGGGAGTTCCGGAACGCGCCCCGAGTGCGGCCGAGGAGAGCGAAGGACTACAAGGCCCAGGATGCACCGCAGCTCGGGAGGGCCGGTTGCCCTGGCAACAGAGTCTCTCTCTCTCTCTCTCCTCTCTCTCTCTCTCTCTCTCTCTCTCTCTCTCTCTCT